GTCTCCATGGAGGGTAATCGGCTTGTTTAGTACAAGCAAGTGAGAGCAAGTGATTTAGAACAAAAAATTTGATCTCGAAAAAAGGTTGTATCTGAGAGAGGTGGTATAAGTTGAGATATTAAGGTCTTGGAGGGAAGTGGTTGCGAGATGCGGTTGTATGTCTATACAGGAAATATCTATGCGTAAGTTTGGATGAAAGTGGTGGTTGTCTTAGATTGTTAATATTACGAGAGGGAAGGGATTTGACGTTCCGCTTTTGTAGGGTTTTAGTTGTACCCAGTGAAGGAGATGAGTTTTTGTATTATAAGGGCCGGTAACACGCCTATAAGAATGTAGCATGATAACACACATTCATCTGGTAGATAATTGCATAGCAATAATATTATGTGTACTTGATAACCTATAGCTTTAATCGTGTATTTCCCTAGGCAATGTTCTGTGAAAATACTGGCATCAGTATTTGGCATTAGATAGAGAGTAATAGGAAAAGAATTGCTTGAAAGAAAAGTGTTTCAAGTAGGCTTTATTGGTGTGTTTTGTAAACAGTTTTCAAACGCTTTCTAAGTTCTCTACACAGCTCGATTCGTTACTTCGGCTACCCGATAACAACTACTTTTAATTTATACAACTGTACCTTAACCATTCGCCTAGTCTACCTCGGCTTACCTTTTCCTCCTTTTTAACATTTTGCTAACAACCTTCATAATTATAATCAAGTATCAAAGGATATATAGACCGAGATAATAGCGAGCTCATTGAGAAATAGACGGTATTACGAACCGGGGTTTTATTTTACCTTATCTTTATCTTCATAAGTACTTCTATTCTGTCTTTACTCTAGTAAGTTCCTTCCTAGCGAGTCTTACCTAAAAGAAGCAACCGAAAAAAGGCAAGAACCTTCTTCCCTAACAGATCCCTCTCGTAAGATACTCTCTTGGGTTCTTTTGAAAAAATAGTTAGTTATTATCTAGTTCCTAGAGGATTATGGTTAAATTGATAGAATAAGTTAACGCTCGGCAATTGGAACCATATTCTATGGAATTCCAGATGGAATATTCCATGTGGAATACTTCTAGCGATTACTCTCCGGAATTCTAGGAGTTCTATGGAATTCCATAGGTATTTCTAACTAATTAAAACGTAGGATTTAGGGCAGTTTTTAGTAAATAGAATAGACTAAGTGAATAGGAATACTAGTAAGATTACCTTATAATTTTCTTAGCAGTTGACCACCTACCTTTAGAGAAGGATTAATAAGCTATCTAGACTCTATATATCGCGATTTTGGTAATCGGCGAGAGTACCTAATTAGAAGGAGCTTCACGTAAAGTGTGTGCCTTCTATCTATAGATACTTAAGTTAATTAAGAGTTCCCTATTGGTCTATCGGCCGGAGAGACTTTTTTACGGGTCACGTGATATATTCCATCTGGGAATTCTATATATTCTATGGAATATATGCCTCTAGAATGGAATAATTCTAGTAAAATCTTAAACAGAATGGAATTATTCCAGAGAGGGGGTCTAGAATAGAATAGAAAGGAATTCCAAATGCTGAGCGTTGGATTAAGTATTTATAATAGGCGTTTAATTCCTGTATTATTTCAAGGTCATATACTAGTAATGATATAGAAAGTGGAAATATAGATACGTATAATTGTACTTAGTTCCAGTTTTCTGTTTCATGGGAAATAGCTTTACTTGCGATTTACTATCAAGAATATAATTAGACCCCTTGGATCAGAGAATTCGGGTTATAAGATGGATGCTATGGTTTCTTGTTCCCTTATAATCATCAATTACCATAGTACTAATTTTGGGACATACCTCCATTACTATACTATCCAATCATACTATTCCGTACACCATATAACTTCGCTCTCAACCCACAGGATTCCCGAAACCATAAAGAAACCATTAAGGTACTCCACATCCATTACCCGTCCAGCGAAATCCCAGAGTCTAACCCACCAAAGACAATCCCATATGTACGCCAGCACCCTCCCAAATCAAAACAAGCTCTTCCTCCTCATCCCACCCTCCTCGCGACTCTAAAGGGAATCCCAGGATTACTCGTAGTAGGAGAATACCCCGAATAAACCGGTGGACTCAACGTCCTCCCCCCCGCCGCAGCAGGTGCTCCAGGTAATCGCAAATATCTATTTCTCTCATCCTCAACTTCTCGTTGTACCTGCTCCCTAACCATGGTCTCTTGAATTCTATCACCCAGTGTGGTTTCACGGGGTCGTTTAGAATGGAATGATGTATTAATAGCATCCACCAAGCTTGTAAGGATCTTGTAGATACCAAAGAGGATTAATGCTGTGATGCTGGTGATAAGAAGTATGAAGAAGCCGCTCATGAGGATGACGGTGTACCAGTGGAGGAAGACGCGCACGATTTGGAAGGTTTGTTGCCAGGGGGGTGTGAGGGATGTGTGGAGGGCTTGGAGGAGGTGGGGGAGCATTGTTGTGGTAGGTATATGTCTGCTCTTGGTTTAAGGGTTGAGCTTGGACCCTATGTGGCGAGAGGCTTTGCGATTTGAGTTGAAAAGGGACTTGTGACTCTAGGAAAAGAGGTTGATGTATATTTGTGTGTGTTTTCTGAAAGTCTTGTAATAGTTGAGTTCTTTTGATTGCAGGAGAGTAGGAAGTGTTGAAGTTGAATTGTTGTGGGCTACGCTCTGGGGGGGTTGGGAGAGGCTGTATTTGTGTCTAGATCTGTGATACACCTGTTTAAACGTGTTATTCACTAATTTCGGAAGATCCATTCTATAGGGACGTAAACCCATTCACCAATTTGAAAGATAATTTTATCTTTGTTGACTTAGATTATTGTAATATGCTAATTCTTCTAATAAAAAAGTATTAAAAGGGAGTCGTTTGAGCATACCCATCTATAATAAAGTGATGTTTTGAAGTGCATTCATTGTAAAAGGGATTAAGTGCTATTGATCTACCTCTGACTTTAAACAGGACTATCGTAATGAAAAAGACACATCCTAGAAAATATAAACCGAAAATCGAATTATAGGTCCTGGAATCGGAGAGGTTAAGCAGGCTCTCTGCTTAGCCTAATCTGTGTGTATTCACCTACCATACTAGAGGCAAAACCTAGGAAGTTCAAAGAATGAGGTATGCCCAGTTCATAACCTTCAACATAACGACTGAAGACCCAAGAATGAAAGGACACTTGATTCAGTCTTCGTCAGAGTTGAGTAATCGCTAAGTTTATATGCGCAACAATATTTCAGAGCTGGGAAAATGAATCTCAAATGGTACTGTAATGCGTTTCCACCTCCCCTCTACTTTTCATTGAAAAGGGATCTACGCTATGATGAATAATACTGTAGTAAGTTATGAAGATTCAAGGTTGCCAATGCAAGATCCAGATCTTTAAAATTCTCGCTTAACTACCGCCTTGTCTTTTGTATATCAGATACCAAATCAAAAAGCTACTATGGCGTTTTCTTCGCGTAAATACAACAATGCGCTTAAGCGAGCCAGTTACTCTCACTCCACTACCTACTACTCGCTACCATCAACCGCAAATTCGTAAAACAATACTCAACATACATAATGAATTCAGAAACTATGGTAGGATGAAAAATTAATATCGATATTAGTATTATGATATTATCACACTATGTAGTTATTCCAAACCTCTCCCCTCATTTTGTATTCCCAACAAGTGCTAGGAAACCCTCTCCACCATGTATCCCTCCTAGTAAGCCCAAACAACTCTATCAGAATATCACCTATCCAGAAGAGACGATTACTTCTTCTTTGACGTGACATATATCACCCATCCATCCAACTCTCATCCCCCTCCGCTTCTCTCATAACTCCACCGTAACAAACTCCCTAAGTTCAATATCCCCATTCTCATTCTCCCCCGCTATCTCCATCCCTCTCCCTCTCTCTCTCTCTCCATCCCTATCACTCACACTTCCTTCCCCAGTTCCTTCCCCACTTCCTTCCATACTCCCACCACCCATCTCCAAATCCTCCCCTTCCAACTCCCAACGAGAACGTTGCCATCCTTCCTTGTCCCCCCCAGTCACCAGCTCTGAAACCTCAGCACCAGAGAACCCCAGAACAAACATCAAACACCGTGCGATAAAGAGAGCGAGGATGTTAAGACATAGGAAACACAGGATGCCGAAGGAGAGGAGTAGGGAGGCTGAAATGATGTTGGCATTTTTTTGTGAGGTGTTGGCGGTGGGGTGGTGCGTTTTCATTTTTTTTATTTTTTTCGGATGGGTATAGGTTGATTGAAGATGGAATGTTGGGGTGATGGTATATGGTGGTGGGATGGTGTTATTAGGTAGTGGAGTTATAGGATGATGAAATGGTATAAGAGCGAAAGGGAAAAAAGGGCGGAGATTATATAAATAACAGAAGCCGTGAATGATTCCCATAGTGTCTGTGAATGTTGCTTTGGGCGTTTATACGGTAAACATTCACCAGTTTCGAAACTTTTATGATCCCCTCGTCGCATCATAAGTACACCTGGGATTTTAAGTTTTCGAATTCCTCTTGGAGCGATCGGACCGGTCGGAGTAATGTCTAGGCGCGCTATGGGGCTTGGTCCGACTTGCTTCCAAGTCTTCGGACCACTTAAGTAGTAGTGTTGTTGCGTACCAAGACAAAAGGTGGATATCGCAAACCTAAAATCCCAGGTGTATATATGATGCATCGAGGGGATGGTAATGGTCAAGGTATTCAGGTTTGAAGTGAAACACCGTTTATAAGTAGGTGTTTGAAACAATATTATAACAACGAAGGACCTTTGTCAAAGAGAAAACTCGGCCTTGAGATACATGCCGTTATTTCCACGCCCATTCATTTCACAACGTACATTATCTAATCATGATCTTCCTGCGGTACACCCCAAGCCATAATTTATAGAAATCCTCAAATCCTCAAAGACTGCAATGGTATAGTTTCACTCACCAAAAGAATCCACCAACTCATCCGCATTTACCTATCACTACACCTCACTGATTTCCATCTTCTTTAACAAAAGAAAAAAGAAAAACGGTTCAGCGTTTGGAAGAACTACTTAACAACTCAAGTACTACCAGAGTTCCTTAAGTTAGGTGAAGTTAAGTAAATCAGTAGAACCGACCACTCAAGCGAAGTCTTCTAATCAAAGTACAACACTATAACACATCCTTCCGAGCTACATAAATTACGTAATTTATATAGAGGTACAGTAGGAATCAATATGGGGTAGCGAGCTTAGCTATGCTGTCTCTTTATCTTATATAGTACCTGTACTTGAGTCCGACTCCGAGCAGCGTGTTTAATTCGATTAGTTGATTTGATTAGTAGCACCTAATCAACTCAACTCGAGTAGTGAAAATCACTAACTAACTCAACTCGAGTAGTGAAAATCACTAATCAACTCAACTCGCCAAGTGTTCGATTAACTCATGATTAACTCTATTAGTGTCGGCCCGATACCCCGTTTTGCGCCCGGCCTCGCTAGCCGGGGTCGGTCCACGTAGCCGAGTTCCCCTCGATTAGGTATATACTATTTTCTTATATTATAGTCACGTTATATATAACTACTCGAGTACTACTCGAATAGTTAACTCTACTACTTAACTCACTTAACTGAATCTACCAATTACCCCTTCCAGACCACAGAGTGGCAAAAAAACGTGCACACGATGTGGATAGAAGTGGATGTAATAACTGGGTCAAATTGAGGCTCAAATGCTTGGAAACACAATGTGGTTGGCCAGACGCTTTCATTTTGCGGAATCGATTAAATGGTACTCATGCACGCATAACTTATGCATGTATAAGCCCATGCACAGGCCACTATAAGACGTTCCACTCCTTCTCTACTACTAAAATATAACTTCAACACCTACCATTTTTTTACTATTAGGATTAGAAATAAAAATGTAGACGGGTTAGGGCTAGAAGTTGGGGTTAGTGGAATATGATTTTTGGCTGTTTTGTAGTGTAGACATGGCTAAGTGGCTCCCTTTTATGTCAGAGATGGCACGGGCCTCCATGAGTACCATTTAATCGATCCCCATTTTGTGGAGAAAATGCTGTAAAAGTGGATACCTTTACTCCACCTAGGAGTGCACGTTTTCTTTTTGCCACTCTGTGGTCTGGAAGGGATACTTATTCAACTCAACTCGATTACTACTCGAGTAGGGTTGAGTAGTTGATTAGTTTTGTTAATACGCTGAGTCCGAGTACCTAGACCGATCATCCGCACGGCCCCGGGTACGGCATCCTAATTTTACACTTAGGTTGGTATCGACTAAATCACAAATCTCAAAGTGTTGCAAAAGTCACTTAATAGGTATAGCTAGGTAATCAAGTCGGGTGTGTTATAATTATCCCCTTAGCTACGACTAGGAACTCCGTAGCCTAAGTATAGTACTAAGAATACTAAGTAATCTAAAAGAACCTTATATTTATACTAGTTCTAACTATATTTAATAAAAACTATAATGTAATAGCCTTCTTTTATATAAATAATTATTAAATCTATTATAAGCGCAGTAGATTTAATATATAATTATTACTCTTATACTTTTATTAGTAATTAAGTCTACTATACTTCTTTTTAGAGCGTAATATCTAATACTAGTACTATTATAGTCGAAATTAGACCTTGGTATAATATAAACGTTTCTATATTAGAGGTTCTATAATAAATATTATATTATAAATATATTAATAATATAATATCGGGTTTTTAATAATATTTAATATAATATCGATTATTATATATATAACGTAGAAAATCTATAAACCTAAGCCTAAACTAATTAGTATACTCTATTTACCCTAGCTCCCTAGGCTCCTTAGACTTTAATAAATAATACCACTACTAATTGGCGTTTAATAAAAGGAACTATATTCTATAGAATACTATAGATTATATTCTATCTAGAATCCCTCAAGAGTACTCTAAAAATAGTATAGAATCCTTTTATTAAATAAGCTCTAGAACTCTATAGAAAAATAGAATTCTAGATTAATTAAAATGTATAATTTAGAAGAGGTATATAAAGCTAAATAATAATAATTAAATTTAGATAGGTTTATAATATTTATATTCTAAAGAAGTACTAAGATACTTCCGTATTATTTCCGTACCTAGTAAGCTTATCTACAAGGTAGCTTTTACGTAACCTATCTACTATCTATAAAAGACTTTATCTAAACTAAGTATAAGAGACTTCTTATTAGTCTATAAAGTAGAAGTATATTTATTCGATTACATAATAATTTCTAGCTAGAAATTCTAGAAATTCTATAGAATTAGAAGGTCTAAAATAGAATACTTCTAAAGAGAAGGTCTAGAATAAAAAAGAATTCTAAATACTAAACGCTACTATTAATACTACTACTATTAATACTATAATTTTTATAAAACGCTTTTTATTTAACCAAAATACTACTATTTAATTCCGTACCTAGTTTATCTTAT